TTCAAGGGAGAATGGCAGACATAGAATTTTAGCTATGTGCAATGATGCATCAAAAATATAGTGATTTTATTATGAAGAAAGAAGGGAAAAATAATTATTTGTGTAGGCAGCTAGTGCCAGAGCGTCATTCTGAATATAGAAAGGAGGAACACGTAGCTTCCTACTACATTTCGGGGTAATAATGATTCAATGCACATTGGATACTTTATTCCCTCTGACTAACAAAATGAGTTGAGTAAATGCAAAAAACCACGAATATTTTTAGAGTCTGTCCTTTTTCTGAGTCAAATTCCAATTTATAGTCAGTCGAAATAATCACCAATTTTCACCCTTATGTGTGTGTTAAACAAATTTCATAGACTTCAATATGGTGTTTCCCAGCCACATCACACATATTCACTTATGAAGTTAGTCAGTCAATTAACAAATGTTAATTTAAACTCTACAATAAGCTCGGTAGCTTGAAAGCCACTGGAGAAGGTGAAAAAGTGACAGGGCATAAGCACATTGAATTCAGGGCCCATCAAATGGGGTATATAAGAACAAATAATATTCTAAAACACATCAAAAGACTTAAAAGTTTTGTAAAGTTTTGGACCTATCAATTCTACTCAGAAAAACATAACCTGAGAAGATTACCACGGATGCAGGCAAAGGTTTAACTATATGCATGGTTATTAAAGCATTGATTTTAAAAACAGCAAATTATAAAAACAAACCCTGCAATTCCAGTAACAGAGGACAGTTCAAGAAGTTACATTGCTCCCTTTCTGTGAGTCATGTTGTATCCTTACTGAATACCAAGTCACTTAGATCACTGAGAAAGAATACTTCTGACATAATACATGCTCGTGATTTATTGTAAGTGGAAAACTTGCTGAAAAAAAAAATGTGCTTTTTGCCTTTTTAGTACCATCTACAAGCCATCTCCCCTCTTCTCTGAGAACTGTTTTTCAGATCATAAAGGTCCTAGTCCACCTTTTTTTGTGCTGGGTCACGCCTGCTGATCGGACCACCTGATCCAAGTGGGGCGATCAGATTCTACCTCTTAATAATTTGAAGTTGAGATGTGCAAAGTCTAATATGTTTCTTCTGATGGCTTGAATACAGCATAAATAACCCAGAGGCTGGTCCATGGTTGTGTGCATTTTGCCGTATACGTGGACAAGCAAAGTGTGTCCACAGGGAGGAAAAAATGAAGTACATCGTCTATAGAGGGAGGAAGGGAGGCCAGAAGCCATGTGTCCCCAAAGGGTTTTGATGACCGGTTTCAGGTTGTAATCCTGACTTGGTAGTCAATTTGACGCTCCTGTTTCCTTTTAATGATGCCATCTTTGTTTTCTAAACTGGTCCAACAGGCTTACTCTTACTTACAAGTTAGATCGCCTATCTGAAACCAAAAGAGCTATTTCTAAGAAAATTAGCAATACCTTCATTATGAAATATTTGGGCATTTGTGACAGTAGGTAGGCAAATAGATGTCAAAAATTATTTTCTTATTCTCTTAACTTGAGGAAACTCTCATGGGCAAGGTTTTTGAAATATATTTTGGGAAAGGTTCTTTCAGATGAAAAGTGTACCTGGTTTGTGTAGTTATTTTCCTGTTATTAGAGCTAAAAAAAAATCCTGTTGAACTATTACAGGAAACCATTTCCCCCTAGATTTTTTTTTTTCATTATAAGAGGGTTTTTTGAAACTCAAGTTTCCAGTCTGTTGCCAAATAGAACATTGAGAAAATTATTTTGGAGAATTTTTATGGTAAAATATCTTCCTGCTTATCTCAAAACCAGTGATCAGCCGTTTTTATCCTATTTCATCTACAGTTATTTGCAAAGCTGTTTTATCTGCACTTTTAGCTGTGAGGACAAATCACTTAAAAGGATTTATGTTACGCTCAGTTTCCCAAACCAGCGAGGGTAGAGGATTTTGTAGCACTCAAGCAGCTTCAAATGTTCTTGTTATTATGTTTTCGAAGTGAAAAAGAAACTTGCTTTGTTTTACTCAGATTTTATCTTGAAACTTTAAAATACATTTTAAAAAGAGGATTTGAGGTATGTATCTCTATCAGAAGAGGCCTAAATTTTTAACAATTGGAAAGGCTACTGTAATAATATAGTAAGTACCCTAAGATGGGTTTTTAGTATTCTTCAGAGTTAGTATACATTATGGGATGTTGACCATTATGGGATATTTTCTAGGGCAGAACAAGGACATCAGGAGTATGACCCACACACTTCAGACAGCTTCCTAGTTGCATGGAAATGGAGCCAAGAAAGCAGCTCTTGCATGACCTCAGCGCTGCTCCTGGAATCACCCTCTGCCCACTTCACACATTCCTGGCATGTCTTTCATTCTCTTGTGGCAGAGAGAAAGTGGAGTTGCCAGGTTACTGTTGATGAAGTATAATTTTTAGAAGCAGAAAGTCAGTGTCCTGGTTCCGAATGATTCATCTTGCTCTCTGGGGTGCGTAAAACAGAATCTGTGATGGAAATACCACTTTTTTCTTGTTACTGTTTTTCATGTATAAAATCTATAGATTACATTTCCCTTCCAATGGACTCAGAAGTATGTGTCATTTGGCACAAAATTGTAAATGAGTATTTATTGAATTAAGTGAAGTGAGAGACAACGTTCAACTTTCCACATCAACTATTTATCAAACTATCAAACTGGTTTTAACCTCTAAGCCCTGAAAGTTTTGGAAGATGAGAAACAAGTCTCAGAAATGCGGGGGCCCCGTTTTTCAGCTGCTTCCCTTTGTTCAGCAGACTCTAAGGGGTGTAAGCCATAGGCAGTTTTCAGAGCCATCCTTACAAAGGATTTTTATCATCATGTGACTTTGGACAAGCCTCAACATTCCTCATCTGTAAAATAAAAACAGGAATATCTACCCTACAAAATTGTTGAGTAGTAGAATAAAAGCATCCATCCATATTATTGTATGTTATTATACATTTTATGTTGTATTATATATATATATATATATATATATATATATATATATATATATATATATAATAACAATATTATAGTAGGTCTCCAGGAAATGGTAGTGACACTGTTTTTGAAAAGAGTTTCACTTGGTTCAAAGTTCAAAAGATACAAAGAGTTACATGTTTTATCTTTTGAAATCTTTCCACTTCTGTTTCTCAGCCACATAATTCCTCTCCTTGGGGTCAACTTATGTATCAGTTTCTTATGTATCTTGCTAGAGATATTTTGTATATCTAAGAGCAAAAATGGATAGTTATATTTTCCTCACCTTTTTTTAAACATGAAGAAAATCATATTCCATGTTTTTTTAAAATCACATAAAATGTATTTTAGAATTTGTTCATGTAAGTTCAATTTGTTTTAAACAATTGTGGCATAGCTGTGTGTGTGTGTGTGTGTGTGTGTGTGTGTG